CGTCGCCATCGTAGTAGTAGTAGTAGTAGTAGTAGTAGTAGTAGTAGTAGTAGCAGTAGTCGTCGTCGTCGTCGTCGTCGTCGTAGCAGTAGTCGTAGTAGTAGCAGCAGAAGTCGTAGTCGCCGTCGTAGTAGTACTAATAGTAGTGGTAAAAAGTAATGGTAAATAGTCGTAGTCGTCGTCGCCGTCGTGGTGGTTGTAGCGGTGGCAGTAGCAGCAGCAGCAGCAGCGGTAGCCGAACTGCGAGTGGTAGGAGGTCGTGGTTGTCGTCCTCGTGCGACTTATTCTTCTCATTGCCAATTATTGCTGACGCTTCCGCACTTGTCGATGCTGCATTTGTAGTGCGAGTGGTGGTAGTCGTGAGCCCTGGATCTTCGAGCAAGGAATGGCTCAGCTGATACCAAAATCGCGAATGGGCCGACCCACAACCCTCGCTCCCTGTGCCTTCTCCAGCTTCCGCAGCAGATGTGGGTCAAAGGAGGAGGATCTCTCGCACTCGAAAGTACCCACCTCTCCATGCTTTTGTTGTAAGAAGTTGGAATCAGGGCTTCGAAGATGGCCTTCTGGGTCTAGGCTGAGGGTTTCGGATCGTTCAGTCACAGTACAGGGAGTGCGGGCGCAGAAACAGAAGGTGGGAGGTTGGACCTATCCTCCTTATTCCTCGGGAGCCCAGAATTCCTACATGCCGTGGCCTTCTTGGTCAGGACGGAGGCGAAGGTGGCTCGCAGGACACGACGAGACATATCCAACCTCGAACAGGATTGCAAACCGATCCTCTCCAGAAACTCTGAAGCGGGCACTTCAAGCATGGGACAGGGAAGTATCCTGTGGACGGCTCCATTCTTGCAACATGGGTTCTGCTTGACAGTCTTTGAACTTGGCAACAGGCCTACTTCGAGCAAAGTTGCGCGCTTTCCAAGTCAGAGGCCACTCACTAGTCTGAGGCTCCCAGCAGGGCACCAGGAACAACGAGGACAACAAGTTGCTTCCCATCGGCTAGCATGAGCACCAGCAAAGGGCACACCTTGCAGGAGTGTCTGGCACTCAGCTTTGCCACACAAGCTCCTGCGCGACACACGACAGCATCAGCATCTTTGTGGCTAAACCTGAAGGGAGTAAGTATAGTTATGTTATGCTTCGGTGGTCGTGTGACTGTGAAAGCCTTGACTGCCTCACCCTCGGATTCAAAGAACGACTTTCCAAGGTTCTCAGGGCGTGGCAACTGTGGTCTTGCCCTGGCATTGCGCGTCGCGACGTGGGGCGGTGGACACAGAATCAAGCGACCACACAAGCATGCCGACGAGATTTTCAGGCTGCAAAACCATGAAGTCCACAAGTCCACACCTTAAGCCCTCGGCCTGCCCCATGATCATCTGCTTCACCATGGCGCTGCAACCACCAGCATCCTGAAGGCAGCTGTGGAAGCGAGGGTTCCCCTTAAGACGCCTTCTTCGACTCTACCCAGGGCCCTTCAAACTTCTTTGCACTCGCACACATCAACGAAAACCATAGCCTACAACTGTACGGTATTTCTGGACTGGTGTCGTGAATTCATGCTTCTTTCACATAAATGCACTTTGCAATTCTTTGAAACCCAAACCTCGATTAAGACTCTCTTGCTCTTGCTGCGTTCGATCCCGTGTCCTGTTGCCAATATTTTTACTTTTTCTTTTACAGAGCCCTCCACGGAAACACAAGAACTCACAACAATAGCATTCAGCTGGCCGGCTCCCAGCTTGAGGCTTGAATTCAGCACAGTAGCACTACAAGTAGTAAAGCCTTTAATTGAAGAGGCTCTGTAAACTTGTTGTCTTGGCCTTCAAGACGAAGTATCCGAGCCTTCTTGGCAGTCTCCAGGCTCGTCACGAAATCCTTGACGAGGTCCACCTGGTCAATGCAATTCAATGCACGTGCGGGGTTGCTTAGTTGGCGCTGGAACTAGAAAGTCTCATTGAGTGTAACTTCCTCGTACTGGGTAGCCAGCTCGCAACAGTGCACAGCACTGCAGCTACAATTAGACTTACGAAACGAATTGCTGCAGCTGCCAACGCTGTGCCCACACATCGCAGTAGGAAGGTGTCATCAATATCCACAGATTCCTGTATCCCATGCAGTGCACCTGGTTGTCCCTCAGGAGCATGTTTCGAGTAAACTCGAACCTCAGCACGTCACATCACCGGTCGAACTGACCAGGAAGAACCGATAAACAAGAGCAGTAATTTGATGGCAGTTGTGGCAGTCATGCGAACAACGGCTGAAAACGCGAGAGCAAGTTGCTTCGAACTACTGCCGGCCTCTGCTGGTCAAGGTCGTGTGACAGTAAACACAATCATGATAACTAAGAATCATGCGGTGCAGGGTTTTTGCGTTTTAACTAGAATGCTTACTTAATGTTGAACTTCATGTTCATCACAGAACTCAAAAAGCATAGCGGAAGAACCCTAATCATGAGCGCATCTGTAGTCGCCGATCGTGTGATGCCCAGCTTAGTAAATTCGCACAGCAGTTGCAACGAATATCAGGTTAAGAAGCAGTGATACCGATGATAATGTCTATGCCGATGAACAATGCAGACCTTGAGCTGCACTTCCGTCTCGCGCTGTTCTCTTCACGATCATGTCCACGCAATGGAGCGGACGAGCAAGACCCTGCTTGGAGTTCATGGGTATGTTATCTGTTTCGGAGAACAAATGCCAATACATCAGGCGGTAAAATTTGATGCGTTCAATGTCCTGCTCGGTAACAAATGCAGCTGCCACAGAAGTGCCGCCACGAGGCGCGAGGAAGCGCGGGTCGTAGTCACCTTCCAAGTCGTGTGGCGCATAAGCACGCCGTGACCGCCTTGGCACAGAGGAGACCTACTGGTAACTGTAATGCATGCCTTTCTACCTCTGTGCAGCCTTTGCTTACATTTAAATCCTAACTTCCTGAACTGCTGAAACAGCTCCCCAGAGAGAGAGATAGGATCTCGGGCGCAACGATCTTCGGGGTTCTCCCTTGATGAAACCACTGGGCAGCAGGCAGCGTGCCAGAGAGAGCCGAGCAGGCCTGGCCGGAAGTACCAAGCAAGGGGACGGGGACGAGGAGAGTAGGCTCTCTCCGAAACCCTGAGCATACCTCAGCAACCATATATATATATATATGTATACATACATATATATATATATGTATATATATATATATATATGTGTGTATGTGTATATATATATATACATATCTGTATATACCCCTCCGTATGAATGCAGTTGTATGCATATGGATGGGGAACAATCTGCATCATTTACCCAGACAGGCTACCGAGATCATGCTGATCTTCGCTACACTCGGATGGAAGGCACTTCATGCGTATCGCTTCCACATTTCCCTCACAGGGGCGCAAGTTAAAGGGCGACCAGTGATTCCATGACACAACAGCTGACATAACCAGCACAGCCGCAGGGAATGGCACAAGGAGCCAGCTGGTAACGAACATAGGACTAGCGAGGCAACGTTGGCATCGCACAGTATCAGGCATCCTTGTGGGTGCAAAAACCGAAGACGAGCAACGGTAGAACCACATCGTTGGCTGATCACCAAAGTCGTACGCCCTCAACCCACTGCTATAAGACTAATGGGAACTGCATCAAAGCAGTAGCAAGAAAACGGTATTCGCGATAGTCATCTGCATCTTCGTCGCAGTTGATGTTCAATCGCCATCATCGCCATCATCATCATCGTCATCATCATCATCATCATCATCACCATCATCATCATCACCATCATCATCATCTGCATCCTCATCCTCATCCTCATCCTCATCCTCATCCTCATCCTCATCCTCATCCTCATCCTCGTCATCATCATCGTCATCACTGTCATCATGGTCTACATCAGTCGCAGCAATAAACCTCGCAGAAGCACAACTTTATCCGAGCCCAACATCACAGAACGACAAAGAGATGGTCAGCATCTAGAATCTAGAGGAGTTGATTTCAGCCTGATTCTGCATCGGATTCGTCGGTACACTCATCGACTCCAGACGATGCAGGCCGGCTTGCCGAGCCATGACATTGACAAGCATCCAACCTGTGCATGAACCCCAAATTTATGCATGTTGAGCCAGGGGATCCCAGAATCCAAACACGGCCCAGCACTGCTGGCCTGAGCCATCACGAGCTTCCTGTCCGACAAGGGTGTGCCAGATTCCAGCAGCTGAACCTGCAATCAGTCTTGTTGTCTCAATGTCTTAGACTCTTAGAGTCTTCAAGTCTGTAGGTGTTCTGCAAGCTCAAAGACTTCAAGCAGAAACCCGAACGCTAAACCTTTCTAGAGCTCTGGTTCAGCCTCCCCTCAACCCGTTTAGGATACTCCGAAGACTTGTTGGGGTCCTGCGGGAACAACAGTGATACGATTGTCACGGTGACTACTACTTATCATCTTGTCTTCCTGCGGTTGATCGGGCAGGAACGTTCTCAATGCAATTTGGCTTTAGAGAAATATCCTCAATCCAGCTTGGATATAGGGTTCAAGGGCTTAGGGCTTTCGGTTTTTTACGGCTTGGCCCTTCTTGTCTCCTCCAACTTCCCACTTTAAGAGATTCATTCTTCTCGGCTTTGAGGCCGAAGACCTGTCTGCCCCTCGAATCAACCCCTCGAAGCAGCAAGGTTTAGGGTTCAGGGAGCTCCACACTCCGCACCTCCATCCGGACGCGGTTAAGCTCCTCTTCACCACTTGCGATTGCTTGTCTTTGTGATTCAGGCTGTTGTAAAACCGTGGCCCCGTCTTGAAACGTATCTGCGAAGCCTAGCAGACTTAGACTAGAATACTAGAAGTTCACCGCTGCTTTTTCTGACGGACAACTGCATGGCTCTTGCAATCTCCGCGAAACCTGGCAACTGGCCCCTAACACATGGGTGCTCTGCGCTCATTGGATTTAAGCATCTTCCTGCAAGCACTGTGAAGCCAGCCCAGGGAATATGATGTAGGGGCCGTAATAGTTAGAATGGGGTTCTGGGGTAGACTATACTATAAATATAATAAGGAACCCCCAAAATAGTATACGTAATTATTTAGGCCCCTACATCAAACGCTAAACCCAACTAAACCCAACACTGTGAGTCCTCCAAGGCACGGCTCAGCAAACCCAAGCGATTGGAGCGTAGCCTGGGAAAACACAATTTTTGTAGGGGTAGTCTAGGGAACAACAACAGTAATGTAGGGGTAGTCTAGGGAACAAGTACGGTAATTCATGGAGACCTGTGAATGATACTTGCCCCTGCTTTATTCGCTATTGTTCGGGGAGGGTTGCCCCTGCTTTATTCGTTATTATTAGGGGAGGGGGTTGCTAAGTGGGGTCGAATACGTAAGGGCTGAGGACGAATGTTATGTTGTGAGAGCTGAATATAACGGCATAAAAACAAAAGGTTTGGGGGTTACTATACCATACTATATCAAGGAACGAAGGGTAGGTAATTAGACTAGGGATTGGGGAGTATGCCGCGCATTCTAGAGAAGCATAAGGAATCCTGGAAAGATAGGAGAGGTTTAAGATTAACGGGTTCAGGATCACGGAGCTGCAGAGTTTTAGCGCTCAGGATCTTCTAGCCTTAGGGTTCGCGGACATGTGGTTTGGGATAACCAATACTGACGTCAATACTACCGATGTCTAGAACTATTCTTACATACAGCACGCGTCATTCCGTGGTGCTATATTAGATGGGATGGTGTTTGCCCAGAGGCTGCAGCGGCACGAAGTCACCCAGCTGACATGGATTTCTGTAAGGGTCGTGCGAGGGTGCTCAGTGATTTAGAGAACAGGCTTCTGATATAACCTGCAGCCTGCCAGACAGCTTAGGGGTAGGATTTCGGGCTTCGTGTTTAGTAAATTGAAAGTGGTAAACCAGTATAATCGTTATTGACCGTATGTTCTATAAAGGTGCATATATACAACTACCCATAGACCCTCAAGTAGTTCCTTTTGGGGTTCATATATAGAATCCTATAAGGTAACCCCCAAAAAGGAACTACTTTAGGGCCTATGGGTACCCAATACCCAGCTAGCAACGCCCCTCTGCATGCAATGGCCATGGGCCCGGCATGGTGAGAGCTGCAAGGTCCGAGAGCAGCTGGAGCTCCTGCCGCCGTCCAGCAAAGTAGTAGTAATAACAACAACCATATAGTCTATAGCACTAAAATAACAATAAAAAACGTAGAATAACTTTGAGACGATATTCGATTTCAGAAGATCTGCATGAACGTCTATACATACATTGTATTTGTGTTTTTTACAAACAAGCAAACAAACAAACAAACAGACAATCCAATGCATTACTTAACTAATTTAAGTTTACTGTTATATACCAGGTTGTATATATATATATATACTTTATATACATCATGCGTGCGTTGGTGTAATTTACACATGCATCTACTCCTGTTTGAGTGGGGATGCGGTGCTTCGGGTTTTCGGGCCGCTGCAACTATGTAGACACGACAATTGCTATCCCAGCAGAAACGAGGAAATCTACAGAGCTTCAAAGGTTGGGTCTAGGACTCTGTGGTGCCGGCATGGGATTCGCAGGCCTCGCAGCGTCTACATGCCAGCAGATTTAGGAACGTTTTGTGACAGATAGTGCGTGTGTGTGTATATATAAGCACACCTGTCTCCAGTCACCTTCACTTTTTGACGGTCCTGTATCGGGAACTTAGTCCCGCCACTTGGGTCGCATCGAGCATCACTTGTAGTGGACGGACTCAAAGAAGCCAGATGTCATTGTAATGTAGGGGCCTTAATAATTAGAATAGGGTTTTGGGGGTTCCTGGATTCCTTATGATAATTATAGTATAATTCAGTATATTACACCCCCCCAAAAAAAAAAAAAAAACCTATCCCCCAAGACCCTCAAGTGGGCCGAGGCCAAGGCCAAGCAGACCCTTTCCTCAGACCCAGTGATGTCTAAGTAACCAAGTGCCATGGAGCAATCAACGGTTTAGGGTTTAGGGTTTAACGTTTAGGGTTTAAGGTTTAGGGTAAGAGTTTGTAGATGAGAGTTAAGTAGATGGAAAGACTCGACTGTCCCTGCGTGAATTGGATCGCTTGGCCCGAACATTCTCAATTCCTTTGCTGTGTTCACGGGGTGCCAAACAATACTTCTCCTCGGCATCATCATGATCACCGTAAGTATGTAAACTATACAAGTCTGCATGTATATGGCATATATATATATATATGCAAATTAATAATATGCACATACTGAAAAATATCCCATCCCTGTAAATACTGCTTAACATTCCACAAAACCCTAGTCCAACTATTGGGGCCCCTGCCATTTCCGGATTTCCGTAAGCGACACCAAAAGGAACACGTGGCAGCTACGGAAACTTCACAGGCTGCGCCCGTCACATGTTCACATGTTATGCACGAAGCCCACCGCTCCAGCAGCTACAGGGCACGTTTCGCGTCCTTAAGGATTCTATTGCTTTGAAAGTCTGTTGCGGATTCTAAAGATACCATAAAGGTGCTAAAGGCTCTATATCGCAGGCTTCTGCCTGTCCTGCTCGGACAGAAACGGGTTCACAGTCTTCCAATCCTGGCCGGACCATGGGCAAAAGGACTGCAGCACTTCGAACTACCACGGCCCATCCAAGTGAAGTAATATAGGGGCCTTAATAATTAGAAAACGGTTTTGGGGTATATGATGCTATGGCTACAACAAGGAACCACCAAAATATAGTATTGGTAATTATTGAAGCTCCTATATTGGCCACGTAGAGGTATTTCTGTCGCTTCTCATGGCAGGGTCCTCCAACTGATTGCCAGACAGCAAGCTGCCGAAGAGAAATTCGAACCAAACCTGGCAAACGTGGCGAAAAGGCCCAGCACGTCTTGCTATACCCGCACAGGAGAGCAGCTTTGTACCTGGTTTCACTCTGGTCTCAACGCCAGCCTACGCACAGTGGCGCAGAATCAGAGTGTAGCTGAAACCTACCTTAGGTAGTTCAGCTTGGACTGCGTGGTGCTGTCATCAGCGGGGAATGTCCCAGGCTGGCTGTTCCTCTCCGGCATTGGGAAGCCGAAGGGAAAGCGCCTGGAGAAAAGGCTCTACAGCGATCTGCTGAGCAGACCTCGATGCAGAGCCGAGAGTGGTGTTGCCTGGCTCCACCTGACAATCGAGATAGTTTGGAAAAAGACTACAAAACTAAACGGCACGCTTCCCCCAAACAGGGAAGCAGCAGCTCGTCCAGCGTAAACGCGGACCAACAACTCAAAGGTTCAGCTCTCCGACGGAAGGCTTTTCCTGCACGTTCTCGCCCACCTCCTCTTCTTCCATCTCGAAGGGAAGCATCAAATGCAGGAACAAAGCCAGCAGCGTGCCGATGCAGTAGGGTGTCTTCAGGATGATGATGAGGGAGTCGCGCCACATCTTCTTGCTGTCATCGTACTGCACGCAGCAGTTTCCGTTGTTTCCGATGCAGGTGGTCACGGTGCGAGTGGCCATGACAGGGGCCGTGTAAGTGCCACCCATGCCAGTGCAGTCGATCTCACCTTTGGCTTCGTGGTGAGCTAACAGAGTGGCGGGATGCATACTAAGTGAGCCCAGCTCTGAAAACCTTCTAAGACCGCTCTCCTCCATCCATCCCTCGTGTCCTTCCCTCTCTCCCTGCCTCGCTACGCCGCGTTTCCCTCCTGGTCTGTCTTCCACCGCGCGCGCGCGCGGTTGTGCACATGAAGGAACAGCTCATATGTGGCTTGTCAAGACGAGTCGCTCATAGAGCTGGCGGTGTAGGCACCCTTGGTGCATTGGGATGCCTGGGATTCGTACTCCTCGGTCGGGAAGACCGCGCAGACATCCTGCAAGGCAGAAAGATCTCCGTGGCTCTCAGGGACTCGGGGGAGGGGCGATCATCCCAAACCCATGAAGCCCCTACAAAAGACCCTTAATGAAGGAATATATACCTTTAACCACAACATTTAAGGCCCCTGTAATCTTAAGGTATATATTCCTTATTTAAGGGGTATTGGACGTCCTCGTCCCCCTAAACCCTAAGCCCATGAAGTCCCTAAAAGAGACGTCCTTGGCGGGCCAGAGTCCGATGTTGTGCTTCAGGTTGCCGCCGTGGAACCCTGCGAGGCCACCCCCTTCGGCCTCGTTTTTTCTCACATTTGGACTCCGAGCTCTTTGTAGGGACAAACAAGTTGGGTTTAGGGTTTAGGGGTTTAGGGGTTATAAGGGGTTGTAGAGACTACAACGACACCAAGACAACGTGTGGAGGCACAAGAGTATACCTGCTGCGTTGCAAGTTCAAGAGCAGCTTCTTCTACTCCTCGAAGCGCATACTGTAACAAGTATAATAGTGGTATGGAGGGCAGCGGTCATACCAAGCCAACGGCACATGCCAACATCGATCTTATAAGTATTGCAAATACCGACACAAGCATACACAACGGCCGTTGGCGTGTACTTGGGTTTCAGATGACTCTGCACTGTCATGCAAGTGTCGCGCTCACGACAAGCCACATCGTGAGAAGCTCCCTTTCTCGCTACTGCAGCGAGGATTTTCTGAATCTGTGTCTACCTTGTTGCGCATTTGCTCTTAGTTGTTGCTGAAGATGTGTGTCGATGGCAACACTGAGCAAAATGAACCTTTCAAGCGAACCTCTCATGCTCAGGTAAGCCACCCAGTTCGGCAGGGCTGCCACCCCGACGCCAACCTTGGCGACTCCCAGATGATATGGTAGGGCGCAGAGTCTTAGAATTTACTGTCGAGGCCGGGTTTCGAGATTATGTCGCATCCTGCATGTCAGCACTTCAAGTTGAGTCCTCCTTTCATGGTTCACCAGAAGTTCGCCAACTGGAAGATAGCTTGTGGCCGTGTTGACTGACCGTTGGTGCGCTGCCCGGAATGGACAATGTTCCGGCTTCATGTAGGGGCCTACTGTAAATAAGTACCAATACTATTTTGGAGGGCTCGAGAACACCCGTAGCCAGGGATCGCTCAGAGCCCCAGTGCGGTGATACCGCACGCAGCGCAGCCATCGGGAGCCCTAGTTGGCATCGTGGTCTGCGCAAGCGGAGATCAAAGGCACGCGCCCGTTCTAGGTGCGCTTTTCTGAAAGGCTGCCGGCCCGCAGCCCGCGATCTACAGCGCCTACACCGACACCATTCTGCTCCCCCACTTGGGGCTTGGACGTCGGACGTCGAAGGCCAACCGGAACCGGCATCACATGGGCCGTGGGCGTGGCCAGAATCAAGTATGGGCTGGTTCTGGATCAGGTTATCGTGTTTGGCCTGGAGCCTTTTCTCCACAACTTCCGCGAGAACGGAAAGCCCCTTGGAAAGAAGATGTTCGAGGAGGCCAGCAAACCTTTCCTTCGTACTCGTCAATGAGGCCGACCGTACCTGGTGGGACGAACAATGGGGGGCCAGCAGACCTGCCGGGGTCCACTACAGCCTCTATCCAGGCGGCACTCAATACAACCAGAAAGGCGGAGAACCGAGTATCACGCCTTCGCTCGGCACAGGTGGAGGCGGAGAAGAAGATGAAAGATTACGAACAAAAGCTCAAGGACGCGCTGCTGCGCGAAAGGCAGCGTTACGCGAAGGACTTGGAGCGACTAGACAAAGAACTCTTGGATGCCGAGGAGGCACAGGAAGTCGCAAGAGCAGGCCTACGTGCTGCTTTCCTGGCAGAGCAATCTCACGGCGCCGCAATAGATGTGGACATGGGGGCAGACATGGCCGACGTGGAAAGGACTTTCGAGGCCTGGACATCCGAAGATCAAGACACTTCCGACCAAGTGCTGCGAAGAGCAATGGCAGGTTTGCCACCTACAACGCCTCTGCGAAGGACGACAGCCATGCAGCGCACTCCGGGTCCACAGGAACATGGCCTGAGAGCTCCGACTGGACCGGAAATCCCACAGTCTGCAATATCAATGGCAGCAGCAGATCCGTACCTGGCGGTGCACACTCCTACCTCTATTCCGCCCGGTTTGATGCCTGCTACCCCGATGACTGGGACTGCACCTGCCTTAGGAAGCGCGCCTATGCATCCCCCCTCGGAGATGCCTGCAGTGGTGCCAGCTGCGGCGCCCAACATGGCTCCGCATACGGCAATCACTATGTCAACGGCCGAGAGTGTCGAAGCACCGCCAGGCTACGGCCCAAGCCCCTCGCTTCAGGAAAAGCTCTCTCGAAGGAGGGCTATAGAACCGTTTGGGGGAGCCAAACCCGCCAGTGCAGGCGGACCGAAAATGGAAGCAGGGACTCTGCCTGCCATGCCCTACTGGGGCTCCGGGACAGCGTGTACAGATCCTGGAGGACGATGGAGAAGGCAGCGAGGACATCGATCAACCGCATTGGCGCCCTCCAGGCGTCTCTGCTCCAGGAGACTCTGCTTAGCGGTTGGTCCCCAGCGAAGGGCGGTGTGCAACAGCCTCCCTGACCGCCCTCTCACCATGGTTCACGCTGTGAATCTATGCTGGGAGAGGCGCGACGGCGGTTGGACACACTACCGCTATTCACTGCTGGACCAACCCGATGAGATGCCAGCCCGTGTACATAAAGTAGCGCTAGGGCGTAGCCTTTTTCATGTGCCGGACGCTCTCTTTCCGCGGCCTACCTACATGTACGGGATCTGTCCTCTGGTCCATCCGGACTCCCCTCCTCAGCTCAGCGTACAGACTTCCTTGCCTGGACTTTTGTCGTCCTCGATCCAAGGTGGTGCCGATTGGGTTTTGTCGGCTATACCTTGCGGTCCTCGCCATGTGCGCAAATGGGATTCTCCTTTTCACTCTTTTGGCAGCAGCCACGGAGTTCCTTCAGCTACTTTGCTTTTCCGCACTCCCCGCTTCGGAATGGGTCGCTGGCCCTCTTTTTCGGTTGGACTTCTTTGCAATGTGCCAAATACCCGCATCGGTGGCTCTGGGGCGGGAACTTGCAAGATGTCACCCAGATACCATCTTCGACCTACTTGGTCTCCCTTTTTGTTGCCTGGACTTTTGTCCTCCTCGGCACCTCCCATACGCACGCCGTTCTGCGCTCGGGAAGGTCGCCCCCGCCTAAAGGCGTTGAGCCTCCAGTGCTCCGCCCGGTCCTATGTCACAAGAGAGCTCTCCACCAGGTGCCTAATAGATACATCGGTGGCTCTGGGGTATCAACCTGCTGGAGGTTCTCCGCCTGCCTTTCCTGTCCGGCGAATCCTGCTTATTCCCGGCTCTCCCCCTTCGGGTCTAGTCCCTAATCCCGATTCTCTTAGGGACGGTTTTTGGAACCATGGCGCTTCTGCCTTCCTGGGGGCCTGCCTCTTCTGGTGGTCCGCACAAGCCACATCGGTGCTGTTTGGCGCTCTGCTCCTACTACACATCACCCTGTGTCGGCTTCTCTTCTGCCGGTCCGGCCTGTTAAAGTCACCCTTGGGCAGGTCCCTCTCGGTTGGGTTCTTAGGGCCATGCAAAGAAGTTCTTTTGCCATTAGGCTATGTCGGCACCAGCTCCCCTGTTCTTCCTTGGCAGGCCAATATCAGGCGCCCCTGCAACAGGTCGACACGGCGATTGTGCTCCAACCTTAGCCGTATGCTTTTAGGGCTTCTGGCCTTTTCCAGCCTCCCACGCCCGATCACGGCTGCCCCACCAGGACTCATTACCTCACTTGCTGCAGTTGAGCGCATCATTGCCAGGCTTCCCGAGCCACTACCACCCATACCCTGCAGAAGCACTCAGGGTGAACAGCCACAGGCCTATGTTTTCCCTCACGGCGTTGATGTTGTCTCGCTGCCTTTGCCACGTGGACACTTTGTAGATACCCCACCGCGTACTTGGTTGGGAGTTGAAGTCTATGCCCCTGGATACCGAAAGATCTCCTTTGGTCTCAGGCTGGGCATATGCCCCACACTGGCTGCAGCAACGAAGCAGGTGTCCAGGCACTATACTACATATCATCGGCACATGTCCGGCATTGCTCCTCTTCGACCTCAGCGTTATGAGGGCATTGCAATGTTCATCGCCTTCCCTGCTTGCTTAACCCAGCTCCAACGGTGTGCCGTAGTCTTGGATCTTTCCCGGGTTCACGGCCACTACGCTGCCGATGTGTTGCCGGTCATTTGTACATGGGATGTCCTCCACAAAAAGGTAACCAGCATCATTGGGGGAGAGCCTGCCGATTGTGACTTCTGGATAGGGCCCCAGCGAAGGCGAGCTCTTCCGAACGCGTCATTTTCTTTGGAGCATGGTGACGTGATCGTCGTTACCCCTGCCGATATGGATCCCGGCCATGCGGTGCACATCAGCCAGCTCTTCTCCAATGATACGCAGTGGACGGTTCTACACCACGTCTTCCCCGAGACCCTCCTGCCAGGTTTGGCGGTGTACCTCCGAGACTTTGTTCATCCCTTCGCCGGACGTCACTTGGAGGGTTGTAATGTTCAGGCTAGGATCAGTCAGCTCCTTGGCGTCGATGATGACGACCTGTATATACGAACCCCGGCCGGCCTCTCTGACCTTGATGTGGCTGGGGAGCCCTGCCAC